TTGAATCAAAAGAAGCACCAAAACCAGCTGAGGCCGAGAAAAAGCAAGGTGATAAATAATTATCCAAAAGTAAACTGATAAATTATCTTTTTATCTTACTAAAATTATTTATTGTCTGTAGTATTTTTCTTTTGCATTGTGATCGTTCGCCATCTGTAGTTTGTTTCACTGTAGTTTTTTATTAGTTGTATTGTAATTATTTTTTATTTCTTGATTGCTCTTGGTTCAAATAAACAAGATGCTTGAAAAGCTTTTGTGTAAAAATTAATTCTTGTTATTGATAACAATGAAAGAACTGAACCTAAGATCAGTGAAACTATCGAATCGATAAAGAATCGTACATATTAAATAGAAAAATGTCATAATTTTATAAACATTATTACAGAAACGCTTAGAATCAGAATTGTAAACATGATATAGAGAAAATGCACTTAAGATTATCGAAAGTAATACTACATTAACATTATGGCTTGCGAAGATAGAAATGTACATGGTCAGTTAACCATAGGTTTTATAAGCAGGATATCACGCTGAAGAAATCCATAGAATTGTTTCTGAAATTAGCAAATGCCTTTGTAGGGTTTTACAATTCAGAAATAACAAGCTATGATTATAATGCATATCATTTTAGTTGTGGAGCACTGACTTGTGTATTCTCAAATGTAAATAACTAGAAGAGAAGAATATAAGATAGAAGATACAAGATATTAATCATAATATATTGTGTATCAAATATTGTCTCATAAATAGAAATATCTGTCGGCATACATTATCATTCACAAAATCTGTATATCCCGAATATCTTTTTTTTGCCAACGAGATTTTTTCTCAAGAAATTGAATCTTGAAAAACAAACCTCATGAAGTTTCTATAGAAAGCCAACATCTTTTCTTCATAGAAAAAAACAAAGAATTTTGAGTGAAACAATTAATTTAAGAAAAAGACTGTTTTTTGTTTTTACAGGAAGCTCGAGTAATAATCAATTTTTTTAAAAGTATAAAAAATAGAAAAAAAATAATTTAACTAGGATACCATGTGATTACTTTATATTGATTAAATTTATTGATTTATATGAACAAATGTTGTACTTTCTCGAAACAGCAAACATTTATTTAAATAATATATAAAAATTCATGAAACTCGAATAAAGACTAATTTATCGTTAAGTCTTGAAAATTGTGTATATGTTCTCTCTAGTAACGAATATAAAAATATCAGATAGATCGATGAAAAGATCAGGTTCAAACTGTGATTCATTTTGACATATCCTATCAGGTACTTTCGAAAAAATGATCATTTATAGAAGTGTATCTTTCAATAAATTTTCTAAGAACAGAAAAATAAAAATTTGACAATAGTTCCACTGGTTACTATTAACTATTCTAGTGTTGTAAATTAGAGATTCCGCTAACATTCAAAGCGTATTCGAATACATGCAAAGTATCTGTCTGAAAAATTATATTTATGCTTATATCGAAGCCTCGATATGCATTCATTATTCCTTTCTTTTTTCTTGTGTATTCAAAGGGTCATCATCTTGTGTACACGACTATACACAACATTCTAGCCGGCAGAATCGAATCGAACAAAGCAACAAAAGATAGCTAGACAGAGAGAGAGAAAGAGAGAGAAAAGCAGGAATGGAAAAGAAAACGCTATAACAAAGAGAAATAAAGGAAGTACTAGAAGCTGCTAGAATATTCGAAAGTTCAACAGGTACATTTGTGTGATGCATATAAATAGCCGTGTCGCTTATTGGTATATTCACTGCATCGTTTAACTTTATCTACATATTTAACAATGTCATTCTTTCCAATCCATCGATATCGTCGCTTCGATGATCCATTTGATCGTTTTTTCGGTGATCAACTTGATTTCTTCGATCCATGGCGTGATTTTGATACATTTCCAACAGCTCTTGGTATTCGACCAAATGCTTTTCGATGGATCAATGAGCCTTTACGATTAACACATGGTCATAGTGCTCAACCAACATCACCAGCACCACATCAAGAAAAATTTCGTGTTCAACTTAATGTTGCTGGATTTAATCCTGAAT